CACATTGGTCAACAAAGAACCCAGCTAGGAGAAAATGCTACCTTGGAAATTTAACTCTTTTGTCAGAAGTGAAGTTTTAGTTATGAAGGGGAAAATCAGAACAGCTCTATAAGCACATTAAATTATGACAAGGGCACAGGATTGGAAGCCTGACCTGAAGTGTCTGAGTCCATTTGGGCTACTATAATGAAATATCATAATCTGGCTTATAAACACAGAAATTTGTTTCTCACAGTTCTAGAAGCGAGGAAGTTGAAAATCATGGAAAATTTGATGTGTGGTGACGGCCTGCTTCCTCACTGATGGATGTCTCCTTACTCACTGTAGGCTCATTTGGTGGAAGGGGCTGCCTAGGTCTTTGGAGTCTCTTTAGTAAGGACCCTAATCTCAATCATGAGGACTTCACCTTCCTTCATGAATTAATCACCTTCCAAAGGCCTTACCTCCTAATACCACCATACTGGGCATCAGGATTCAGCATATGAATTTTGGGAGGACACATGTTCAGTCTAGCACAAAGTATTGATAAAATGTGAGTATTTCACTAGGGGGGCCAGTCAAACCTCAGAAGAGTCTCCAGTGTTCACAAGGAGTGCACAGCTTCAGAAAAAGCAGTAGATATGCAGAAAAAAGCAGGAAGCAACCCAGGAGACCAGTACCAATACGGGTCCTCAGCATGGCTAACTTTAGAAGGGACTCAGGCCCCCTGTGCGTCAGAGCTTCCCCTGTAAATGAAAACTAGATCTAAGGCCTTGTTTGGAATGAAGAAGTGATGGTTTTTGTAAAGCTACATTTTCAGCAAAAACCAGCGATTTAATTATTTCATATGTTAATAAAATATACTGTTTGTCATGTGTATGACACATGGCAATATTATAATTATAAGGGAAGTTTGATTAGTCAGAATGTTACTGGCCGAGATGCTGTGTTTTCCCAGGATCATGTCTTGGAGGCAACGAAGAATGAAGCCACCAGACAAGAGTATGGAGCAACCAGCAAAGTTTTTAATGAGGGGTGAAAAAGAAAGAAAATTTCCCTTTTATTGGGAGGGGCTCCAAGGAAGGACGCTGGTGGGGCTTCAGTGTCCAGGGTTTATAAGAACAAAAATGGAGTAAACCACACAAGTTGTTGGGAGTTATTGCTCGGGCCTGTTGCTATGGCCGAGCTAGGATCAAAGGAAAAGAAAAACTTCCTTTTTTCTCAGGCTGAATTTTCCCAGATGTCCAGGCTGAGGCTTCTTGTTAACTAAGAAGCCTTGACCCTAGTTCCCTTCTGCCTGTGACCTACCAGGACCTTGAGCTCTATCTGCCTATGTCTGGGGCCTTGAGTTCTGTCTGCCTGCATCTGACAAACACTTCCCTCAAGAAGAAGGGCATTAAAGGAGGAAAGATTGTCATGGGAAGAGGAAAAAGAGGTCGAGTTGTGGAGTCACAACTCAGAGTAGCTCACTGCCTTTCCCCTAGGAAGTAAGCAGTCTGGTTCGAAGCCCTTTCAAAGTAGATTTCTGACCTTTAGTTGAAACTTGATGAAACAGAATGATTTACATGTGATTTTGTGCTCAGATCTGTACAATGAATATGTATACTTCTCCAGAATTATGTACATGAAATCTTGAAACTTTTTTTATTGGAAAGAAGAAAAAAAATTCCCCAATCAATATCCTTAAAAATATGTAGACAGCCCTGAGTGTGAGGAGATACAGTGGCGAGTGTAGGAGGACAGGGAGATTTGAGTTTGGTAATGGCTTGCAGCATTTTCTGTAGGTAAGAGTGGAAGAAGGGAAGAAGCTAGTGAGCAAGAGGAGCTGTTCTTTATAAAACAACTGCAGAGCAACAATTCCAATTCTTATGATGGGAGACCTCAGTAGCTACTTCCTCTCCTAACCCAGTACTTTTAAGGAATGCTAGTGTCTGGTTGTTTCTCTCCTTTATTGCTAAGCTCTCCCCAGGCTTCATTCCTCAGTATGTCTTTGCCCCAAAGGAACATCTGCCTGTGATCCATGAGTCTAGGGAGAAAAGCAATGGGAAATTTTGTGAAGGAATAAGGAGAGTTCCCCCCCCCCCATATTTTGTTATGAAATTTTCAAACATATAGCAAGATTGAAAGAATTTTAAATCAACACCCATAGGCCTACCACCGAGTTCTTACCCTTCATATATTACTGTATTTGATTTTTCATGTATCCATCCACAATCAACATGCATATCATTAGTCAAAATTCAGTATTTGTTTATAGTTTGTCTTCCTTTGATGTAGAATGTACTACAATGAAATGCAGAAATCTTAGATATACATTCAATGAGTTTTGATCATTTCATATGCCCCTGTAACTCATATATTGAACATTACCATTATCCCAGAAATTTCCTTCATGTTCCTTCTAGTCAGTGCATGTTCACCAGAAGAATCACTGGTCTTTTTTTTTTTTTCCCACATATTAGCTTTGCCCTAGAACTTCATGTAAGTGGAACCATACAGTACATGCTTGTTGTGTAAGGGTGCCTACTTGGCATAGGTTTTTGAGATACATCCATGTTACTGTGTATGTCAGTAGTTTTATTCTTCTTTACTGCTGAGTAGTGTATCATTGTTTGAGTATATCACAGTTTGTTTACTGTTCTCTTGTTGATACACATCTTGGTTGTTTCCAGTGTGGAACTACTATGAATGCAGCTGTTATGAGCATTCTTGTACAGGTCTTTTGCAAATATGTGTTTCATTCTCTTTGGTAAATACCTAGAGTGGGATTTGTGCATCACAGGATAGGTATATATTAAATTTTATAAGAAATTTCTCTATCTTTTCCAAACTGGCGATTCTGTTTTACATTTCCACTAATGACATGTTAGGGTTCCTGTAGCTCCACAGCCTCACCCAAACTGGCTGTTAACAGTGTTTTTTATTTTGGCCATTCTGGTGGGCATGTGGTGGTATTTCTACAGTCTGAATGTTTGTGTCCCCCCCAAATTTGTATGTTGAAATCCTAACCCCCAGAGGTAATGGTATCAGGAGGTGTGGTCTTTGGGAGGTAATTAGGTCATGAACATCGAGCTCTCATGAATGGGATTAGTTCCCTTATGAAAGAGGCCCCTCAGAGCATCCCAGTCCTTTTCACAATGTGAGGACACAGTGGGATGTCTGCGATGAAGAGTGACCATGCTGGCACCCTGATCTTGAACTTCCAGCTTGCAGAACTGTGAGAAATAAATTTCTGTTTATTTATTTATTTGCACGTTTTATATGTTATCCAGTGTGTGCTGTTTTATTATAGTAGCTTGAACAAAATGTGATAGTGTATCATTACTATCTTGATTTGTATGAAGATGGAGTTTTTAATTGCTTAAAATTTGAGTGGATGAAGAGAAAGAAAATCTTGGTCCTAAGAATACAAGCATACCCTGGAGATACTGTATGGTTCCAGACCACTGCAATAAAGCAAATATTTCAGTAGAGCGAATCAAGTATATTTTTTGATTTCCCAGTGCATTTAAAAGTTACATTTACAGTATACGGTTGTCTATTATATGTGCATAGCATTATGTCCAAAAAAACAATATATATACTTTAAGTAAAAAGTACTTTATTGCTGAAAAATTCTAGTCATTATCTGCTTCAAGTGAATTGTAATATTTTTGCTGGTGGAGGGTTTTGCCTCGAATGTTGATGGTTTCTGATTGATCACGTGGTGGTTGCTGAAGGTTGGGGTGGCTGTGGCAATTTCTTAAAATAAGAGAACAATAAAGTTTGCCACATTGATTGACTCTTATACAAACTATTTCTCTGTAGCATGCAATGCCATTTGATAGCATTTACCCTGGTAGCACTTCTTTCAAATTTGGAGTCAGTCCTCTCAAACCCTGCCACTGCTTTGTAAACTAAGTTTATGCTAAATCCTTTGTTGTCATTGGAACAGTATTTATAGCATCTTCACCAGAAGTGGGTTCCATGTCAAGAAATACTTTTTTAGCTCATCAGTAAGAAGCAACTCGTCATTGCTGAAGTTTTATTATGAGATTGCAGCAATTCAGGCCCATCGTCAGACTCCACTTCTAATTCTAGTTCTCTTGCTGTTTCTACCACATCTTCAATTCCAATGGTCTTAAATCTTCAGTTTGTAAAAAGTGAAGTTATCTGTGAAGTGCAATAAAGTGAAGTGCAATATAATGAGACCTACCTGTACTAAAAGAGGTAGAGTTATAGAAATGGGGAGCACACTGGTCAGATTGAAATGCTAATTCAGATGGTAATACACTTATTTGCACTTTACTGATTCTAGGTTAAGAGGAAGAGACCAAGAAAGACTTAAAATGTCAGAATCAACTAATAATAAAGGAAATATATATAAAAAGGGTATCTTAGATAAGACCAAATAAAAATGATGTATTCTGTGTACATGTTACAGAGTTTTGTACATAGCTCTGGACAAAAAGATAAATTATCAATCAGGAAAATACAAGTGAGAAGAGTTATTAAAATATTACCCATTTCTAGGTATACATATTTTTTTGTTTCACTGCTATTCCTATTTAATAAATCTGTTGAGCTTTATTTTGCAGTTCTAATTTTATCAACAATTTGTAAGATAAATATTCTTGGAGAAATGTATAGCTATTTGAATTAGTCTCAGAAAGCACAGATAAACTTGTTAATAAGTTTTGTGCCCAAATCATGTTGTGTCTTCTACTTAGTAACATTTAAAGAACTAGAACTGAAGGAGATTCCAATTTTATATATTTTCTTTGGTTCCCTGGATTTTAATAATTTAGGATAATCCACTTTATCACTCTGACCACTTAAGCTGATGTTTTTTAAAGTAAAGTATAATGTTAAAGGAACATTGTTAACTTCTTCTGCATCCACTTATAAAATTAATTTTTTTATAATGTTCTGCAAGATTCATAACTGTCCCCTAAGTATAATTGCATGGTTTTGCCATTTTTGATTAAGAAAGTACATTAACTACATTAAAAATACAAAATGTCACTCTGTTTCTATTTTAGGTCCTATATTAGAGATCACCAAGCAAGATTTTTTTCAAGACGCAAAAACCCTCATTGCCCAGCATTATGAGAGGATAAATGAGGTTAATGCTTTGCATTTATCTAACAGTATATTTTTCAGGGGACTAATAGGTATTTCTGTACACTACAAAGATTGTTTCAAATGATTGCATGAACTCTTACAGATTTTGAGTAAAAAAGACAAAATGAAAGGCTAGCTATAAAAATTGATTTCAGATTGCATTTAAAAATAAAAATTTTCAGCTATATAGATTATTTAATTACATATATTAAACTTGCACATTGATCCAATTTTTAATGTTTTTGTTTGATGAATTATAACAGAAGTACTTGGATTAAATATCTTAAGTAAATATCTCTCTTTGAATATTATTAGATAAGGCAAAAATAAATAGAAAATATACTGTGGTGTGCCTTTTCTAAGCCCCTAGCATGACATGCTTGCTTGTATCTTCTCCCACAAGACTTTGCATTAGAATTGTTTTACCAGTCTAATAGCTCCTTGAGGACAGTGAATGTCTTTTTTTGAAGTCACTTCTCCATCATTGTGCCTGGCTCAATAAATATTTGCTGAATGGCATAGTTTTGGAAGGTGATAAGAAAGAGCAAAAAGGAAAAGGATGGCAAAGAGACGGGGAGAGTCAGCACAGGGTGAAATTTTGGATGAGAGCATCTGTAGAAGAGATGGGAACAGCAGCTTTGGACAAATGAGCCTTTGGGGAGACAGGTTGGGGAAGGGAATCTTAGGATGGTCACTGCATGCCACACTATCCTGTTCCTTTTTTTTAAAGAGAATTTTAGATGAAGAGTTTAAATAATTTTTAGTACTTACTGTGGGGCGGGGGTCGTTATGACTTTTATGTTTCTTTTGAATGGTCCTCTAGGCTGAAACTAGCCATAGGTGATTTTAATCTTATAATCAACTATTAACATGGCTTAACTAGTCTTTTCCTGTAACCAATTAAAATACTTTTAAGTTACATTGATTCCACTAGTGGGCATATGGGATAAAAACTTCACAGTCTTCAGAGTTAGATAGATGTATATAATAGCCTTCAGCTATTTTTAGAATTTTATCTAATAATAACTGCACAACATTCCATCTTTGGTTCCTTGGCAAAACATAACTAGCATGCTAAAACCTCCTTACTGGCATCTTGAGTTGGCAACAATTTGAATTTGTCTAAACCTTTTTTATTTGTGGAGGTGGGTGGAGATTGGGTGGGAGCTATAGCTCTATTTATGAGGCAGAGAATGATTAGACTAGAACAATTATAACTGTTTGGATAATTACCTGTTAGAGACCTGTTACTATATTATTTTTCTATTACTCAAAGTAGTCAAAGCAGTTTAATTGAAATTTCTGAAATATGTACCCAATTACTAATATGCTTTACTTGAGAATCTATCTCCATGTATGAGCAGTTATTTCTGGTTCAACGGAGAAAGAGGTTTGGGGGGGTGTTAGCATTTTATGGACATTTGAAAATTATTCAAGGATTGAATTATTCAAGGTTGAAATATTTTAATTCTTACATGTCTAATATTTATGGACTTTAAAGCTGTATTTGCAAATACCACATTTGAGGAGGAAAATGACTACTTTAAGATTCATATTTTTTTTATGAAGTGGAATCCCTCATGCTTGCTAAGAGCTTTTGGAGAACTACAAAGATAACATCTGCTTTATTTGATTACTGTAATGTGCTTTACAGTAAAGTCTTATGCAGTAATGTACTTTGTACAATGTATTTAGTGGATATAATTTTATTACATTATTAATAAAATTTTTAATGAAATTTTATTATACACTAAATATTACAATTTCATTAAAAAATTTTTTTTGTTTTATTCACAGAATAAAGTTCAAGGTACTTCTGTAAATGTTTTTAAAAATAAACACCAAAAACCAAAATCTGGCAAATTCATACCTTTGGACATTAAAATAAAGGAAACACCTGATGTGGTCCAAAAACTTCAGGCAGCATGCAAAAGTATTTGTTTTCCCAAAGATCTTTCCAAAAGTGAACATTTTGAGGAGCTTCCACGACAAACTTTCAAGGAGCCACACATTTTTCATATGAAAGAAAAATGCAAGGATTCTATAGATCCAATTGTGAAAGGTAAGCTTTTGATGGAGCAAAGAAATTCGCAAACTAAGAGGAAAAACTGTATTGCTTTTGGTGTGCTTATCATGGAATTCTCTTGGTCAAGTTAAACTGTACAATGGTTAGCCATGTCTTCCTTGTTCAAGTAAAACCTTACAGTTAGTTAGCCATGTCTTCCAACAGAGTATATTCCTTCTAGCACATACGTATATGTATATATACATATTCCTTCTAGGTCAAGTTCTGTTATGTGTGCTGTTACTGATTGGTCAGAGGCTTATAGCCCTGAGTTCTCTTGTTGAGCAGGTTAGTTAGGGCAGGCAAGCTATTTGTGAGTGTATTTTCCCCAAGCCTGAAAAGGACTTTTGAAAGCTGTAGAGTTTTCCTTTAAGATAAATTGTGGTAAAGGTTTATTCTCTAACAGAAACTTGGTAAGTGGGAACCTGGAGGTCTATTTAAGCAAAACGATATTTGCCTGAGGCTGATGGCCTCTTTAAACACATTTTTAGTTACAGTGTTCATAACTTCATAACTTCATTTATGTTTTCCTTGTTTGTAATTGCTTGTTATGTTATTCATTCATTTGATATTTTTTTCGTTCAGTGAGTGACTGCTCTATGCCAGGCACTATGTTAGGAGCTGAAGAAACAAAGATTTAAAGGGGTCAGAGAGTAATGGTGGGGATAGACACCTGGGTAATTTCTGATCATACAGTGTGGCACTTGCCATAATAGAGGTAAGTACAAAGCATTATGGAAACACTGAGGCATAACCAGCCAAGTGCCGGAACAAAAATTTCTCAGAAGAGACTTCATTAGCAATGGGTTTTAAGAGAAGTTTGTTAAATGTAGGGTGGGAACCAGAGAGGCCATTTGAGTAGCTGGAGGCAAATATTAAAGCACTAAAGGATGAAACCATGTCTTGTGTTTTGGGAAAGGAGGCATGTGGTAAGAAACAAAGTTGGGAAGATGGATGAGTCTAGATATTGAAGAGAATATGATAGCAGTCCTAGGATTTGGACCTATGTGAAATGGAAAGCCAATGATGATTTTAAAGCAGGGTGTGAGGAAGGGTGATGTTTGATGAGAACTTTCTGGTAGATAAATAAAACTGGCAGTAGAGACTGTGGAGAGAATGATGGCAAGAGAGGTAAGTGAAGAGACTACCCAAGAAAGGAAGTCCATGTGAGGGATGGCAGGGGCCTCAATTAGGGCAGTAGTGAGGCATAAAGCATGAAGGAAGGATGTTACAGCAGCATTTATGTAGGGGTGGTTTGCAGAACACTAGTCCTGAGTGATTTACCTCGACAAAAAGTGTTCTTAGGTAAGATAAGTTTGAAAAAATGCTTTCACTTCTTGGAGATTAAAATTGAACATATTGAAAGCTCTGAGAAATACTGCAGAATACACAAAAATTTATTGCTGTTTACCTGGCTATCACCAGTTCATTTGATCAAAGAATTCCTGAAGAAAGATAATGAGGTTGGTTTCCAGACTGGAAAACTGGGCAGACAGACAATAAGTTGAGGTCAAAATTAGAGGGAGAAGCAGATTTTGGACAGGTGGAGAAAGGCTTGGGAAAGATAATAAATTCAGTTTTAGATCTGGTAAGTAAACATGCCTATGGAGGTAACCATTCGGAAGTGGAAATGGAGATCTGGCACTTTAGAGAGAGAGAGGTGAGGACTGAAGATAAATGTTGGAGGCCACTGACATACTGAAATTGTGGGGTTCATGCATTTGTTCAAGCAACATTTATTTACTATTTGAGATATACAAGACAGAAGATATGCTCCTTGCCCTGAAGAAGTTCAAATTTGATATGTGTAATTTGTCTGTGGTTGGACAAAGGAGGGTAAGAAGACAATTACTATATAGTGTGACCAATACTGTAATACAAACAAGCTTTGAAATCAACAGGAAGGACACCTAATCCAGATTTAGGAGTCAAGAGTTGATTCCTAGGAGGCTTAAAGTCTTTGGTAAATTTTGAAGGATGAATAAGTATTAACTCAGAAAGGAGAAAAGGCCTATCTAGTCAGAGGGCCTAGCATCTACATGATAATGGATATCCAAGAAAGTGGTTATGCTGTATTTGAGGGTACTAAAATGATTTTATGTAACTGAAACACTAGGATTGGGAAGTAATTAGAGATGAGACTAGATGTTGAAGAACATTGAATTTAACCTAAAAGTAATAGAAACAAGAAAAGCAATGTTTTACAGAAAAGTTGCAGAGATCACATTTGCATTTGAGAACATTTATTGGCAGCAGAGATGAGGTGTGTTAAATTTTGGAAGCAATGCCGACCAGTGAGAAGACAGTAAATCATGAGAAAGAATGACTTGAATTAAGGGAATGGCATGGGGATAAAGCAGGGAGAGATTTTAGAGATGTTTGAGAAGCAGAGTTATCTAGATTTGGTCAGCAGTTAGAGCATTAAAACATAGAGAAGAGCTGTGGTATTTGTTGGTCTGGTTCATATGAGTAGCAGCAAGGAAACAGATACAGCAAATGAAAGGATTGGCAGTGCATCTTACGTAATGGTAAAACTGCCACCAGTAATACATTCAAATCTAGACCACGTACTTACTGAACTTTGCAGCTTTAGATGAAGAAATCGGGAAAAGGCATTACTGAAATATGTTGGTGGTTTTGGCTGTCTTTAGGAAGTTATAACAGAGATGAACTTAGAAAAGTATTGGCTGGTTTGCAAGCAGAAATGAAAGAGTATAGAGAGATAGCAGGTTTTTGGGTCCTTGTTTTCAACAATGTCTACTAAGACTTATTTTTGCAGCAAAAATCAGATTAAGGGTGTGTCTTTTCCACCCCAAGCCAGTATCTCAGATAAACCAAAGACACTTACCATGCAGTTGAGAGACTAGGGCAAGAGGTAAGGAAGTGAAGATACAAAGGAGATTTTAAACTATGTACAAAACCAAAAAACAGTGCCTAAGATAGACTCTTAGGCACTGAGAGGTGACTGGTGGTTACCATGGGGGATGGTTGGAGTGTGTGGGTGAAATAGGTGAATGGGATAAAGAGGCACAAAATCTCAATCATAATATAAATTAGTCATATGGATGAAAGTACAACATAGAGAACATAGTCAGTAGTTCTGTAACATCTTTCTCTGTTGACAGTAACTATACTAGTTGGGGTGAGCATTTATAAGGTATATAACTATCAAATGTTGTGTACTTGAAACCACTATAATACTGTATATCAACTATACTTCAATAAAAATTATATATAAAAATAAAACTATGTAAAAAAGGACTTTGAATGTGGTTTGTGGCATGTAGAATTAATTGAAGGAAAATAGATTTAAAAATCTACCAAATATTTTCAACAATTCATTGCCAAAGAAACCATGAACCTTGATTTAATTGAACATTTTCAAGTAAAATAATCTGGCTTTATCTGGAAATGGACCACAAAGGCTGTACAGTCCCTGATGAGGGTAACAGCAAGATGTGGCCAAGTAGCAAGGGAAGAACTCCCCAGAGTGGGTAAGGGGGCCACTAAAACAAAATGAAACATGGGAGTGTCTCCCAGAACAGAATCACTGTCTGCTCAAAGAACCTCCCCACCTCTGGGTTAGGGGGCTTCTCAGTGACTCCCCACAAGCATGCTGTAACTTTGGTTTAGTGATTGCTATGTGTCTTCTCTTTTACCCTTTCACAAGTGGAGTGTTTGCTGAGGTTATCCTATTCAACTGTTCCACTGCTGGATGTTGTGTGCTTTTGGGGGAAAGTGGAAATACTTTTGGTATTGGTATGAGTGATGACTGGACCGGAAGAAGCCCCATCTGGCCCTGATGGAGTCTATAGACAGCCAGGGATCCTGGATGTGGTGCCTTGCGCCTTAGGGGAAGTTTGGGTTGCCTCCTTGGGGAGAAGGAAGAGTATGTTTTGTCAGGAAGTAAGAATGGATATTTGCTGTTCAAAAGGGCAGACTGCCTAGATGCTCACCAATATTATTATATCCTTTTCTTCCTGGATACTTGGTTAAAAGCCATTCCTCATGTCCCTTGCAATTAGATGGAGCTATGTGACTAAGATCTGGCTTCATAGGTTATAGCTTCAAGTGATACACATCCATAAAAATGCCTGATGTTCCCCTCCCAACATTTTCAAATACGAGGACTCTTTTTCTATCCTCTAAAAACAATTGCTGTTCCACTCATAAGAGGGTGCTAAAGGTGCTTTTAATATCTGCTGATTGTAAAACTTCTGTTCAGATGTTCAGTAAATATACACAACTATGTATGGGAAATACAAGAGTGAGAAAAAATGATTATGATTTGCTGCCTAGTGGAACTTGGAGTCCAGCTGGAGAAACAGATATCAATTAAATAATCACTTATATAAAATAATCACTTATATAAAGATCGAGCGTATATGACAAATGAACTGGACTTGGGTGGGGTGGGGCTAGTGGTAGGGCTGGCAAAGGCCTCCTGGAGGAAATGACATTTGAGCTAAGATATGAGAGATGAGGAGGAATTACTCAGAGAAGGAGTAATTCCTGCTTGGAATTCTAGGCCATGAGAAAATCATTTGCAATGGCCCATGTGAGGGAAGCACAGAAGTACTTGCAAAGAAGTGCAAAAAGAACTAATGCGGCTACAGCTCTGAGAAGGAGCTGGAGAAGGTTGGTTAAGCTGTGGCTGTCTGAAAAGCAGAAACTGGTCATCAGTGGTGTGCTAGCAAATGTTTAACAACTGGGTCTGTGGGAGGAGGGAGGAAGCCTGATTTATAGCTTTAGCTGGCTTCTATGGTATACGTACTCTAAGGTAGCCAATTTCAAGCTACCAGTGTGACATACTGATGATGGGAGTTGGGAAGAGATAAACACAATCTGTAGTCCTGAGCCTTGTGGCAAAAACCTTTCATACACCACTTGAAATCCTCTCTGCCTCACTTATTCCAGCCACTGCTGTAGTGACTTCTAATTTTGTAGGGGTTCATATACCAGGCTTCCCTGACTCCTTTTTGGTTGGAATGGGCTCA